CCTATTTAACACAGTACTGGAAGTTCTAGACAGAGCAACTGGGCAAGAGAAAGGAACGAAGGGCATCCAAATTGTAGAATACATTATCAAATTGTCACTGTTTCCAAATGATATAATCTTATATATAGAAAAATCTAAAGATTCCACCAAAAAACTCTTACAGCTGATAAACAAATTCAGGAAAGTTTCAGGATACAAAATAAATATACAAAAATCAGTAGGACTTCTATACACTAACAATGAATCAGCAGAAAATGAAATCAAGAAAGCAATCCCATTTACAAGAGCCACCCAAAAAATAAAATACCTAAGGATAAATTAACCAAGGAGGTAAAAGATCTCTACAATGAAAACTACAAAACACTGATGAAATAAAATGAAGAACACATAAAAATGGAAATACTCATGGATTGATAGTATTAATGTGAAAATGTGCATACTAACCTAAAGCAATCTATAGACTCAATGCAATCCCTATCAAAATACCCATGACATTCTTCACAGAGATAGAAAAAAACAATCATAACATTCATATGGAACAACAAAAGACGTTGAATAGCCAAAGCAATCCTGAGGAAAAAGAGTAAAGTGGGAGGCATTGCACTACCTACTTCAAAGTATATTACAAAGCTATAGTAACCACAACAGTATGTTATCAGCATAAAAACAGATGCTTGGACCAATGGAACAGAATGGAAAACCTAGAAATAAACCCACATACTTACAGCTAACAGATCTTTGAAAAAGGCATTAAAAATATACAACAGAGAAAAGACCTCCTCTTCAATAAATGGTGCTGGGAAACCTGAATTTCCATGCATAGAAGAATGAAACTAGACCCCTATCTCTCACCATATACAAAAATCAACTAAAAATGGATTAAAGACTTAAATGTAACACCTGAGACTATAAAATTTCTAGAAGAAAACACAGGGAAGAACCTCCATGACATAGGACTAGGCAAAGATTTTATGACTAAAACCTCAAAAGCACAGGCAACAAAAGAAAAAATTTAAAAATGGTATTTTATCAAAGTAAAAATCTTCTGCACATTTTTTGATGTAAACATTTATTGCAATAAACTTGATCTCTACAACAAGAACTACCAATCACTGCCAAAAGGAATTAAAGAGGACACAGAAAGATAGAAAAACAATCCATGCTCTTGGGTTAGAAGAATTAACATTTTGAACGTGTCCATACCACCCAAAGCTATCTACAGGTTCAATGCAATCCCCAACAAAAAACCAATGACTTTCCTCACAGAAATAGAAAAACAATCCTAATATTCATATGGAATAACAAAAGACCCAGATAGCCAAAGCAATAATGAACAAAAGAACAAATAAATAAATAAAGCCAGAGGCATAAAAACCCCTGACTTCAAACTATGCTACAAAGCTATAGTAACCGAGACAGCATGGAACTGGCATAAAAACAGACACACAGACCAGTGGAACAGAATAGAGAAGCCAGAAATCAATCCACATACTTACAGCCAACAGATTTTAGACAAAGGCACCAAGAACATACACTGGGGAAAAGACTGCCTCTTCAATAAATGGTGTTCGTAAAATTGGTCATCCATATGCAGAAGAATTAAACTGAACCTGTACCTCTCACCATATACCAAAATCAACTCAAAATGGATTAAAGATTTAAGACCAGAAACTATAAAACGCCTCAAAGAAAACATAGGGGAAACACTTCAGGATATAGGATGGGGCAAAGGCTTTATGAAAATGACTTCAAAAGCACAGGCAACAAGAGAAAAAATAAACAAATGGAATTATATCAAACTAAAAAGCTTTTGCACAGAAAAAGAAACAACAGAGCAAAAAGACAACCTACGGGAGAAAATATTTGCAAACTATGCATCTGACAAGGGACTAATATCCAAAATATACCAAGAACTTAAACATCTCTACAGTTAGAACACAAGTAACCCCATTTAAAAATAGGCAAAAGAGCTGAATAGAAATTTCTCAAAAAAAAGACATACAAATGGCCATCAGGTATGTGAAAAATGCTCAACATTACTAATCATCAGGGAAATGCAAATCAAAACCACAGTGAGATATCATCTAACCCCAGTTAGACTAGCTATTATGAAAAAGACAGAAAACAACAAATGCTGGTGAGGATGCAGAGGAAGGGGAACCCTTATACATTTTCGGTGGGATCACAAATTAGCACAGCCATTATAGAAAACAATATGGAGGTTTCTCAAACAACTACATATAGAACTACCATATGACCCAGGAATCCCACTACTGGGTATATATCCAAAGGAATAGAAAGCATCATGTCAAAGAGATACCTTCACTCCCACATTTATGGCAGCCTATTCACAATAACCAAGATATGGAACCAACTTAAATGTCCATTGATGGATGATTAGATAAAGGAAAAGTGGTATACATACATAATGGAATACTACTTAGCCATTAAAAAGAACTAAATCCTGCCATTTGCGGCAGTTTGGATGAATTTGGAGAAACTTATGTTAATTGAAATAAGCCAGGCACAGAAAGAGAAATACCACATGTTCTTACTCATATGTGGGAGCTAAACACACACACACACACACAAAACAAGCAAGTAATAATAAGTTGAACTTTTAAAAGGAGAGACAAACCTGTGGTTACTAGAGGTGGGAAAGGGGAGGTGGGAGAGGACAAGTGAAAGACTGGTTAATGGATACAAAATTACAGCTACGCTAGATAGAAAAAATAAGTCCTATTTGTGTACAGTCAACCCAGGAATCTATAATTAACAATGATTTACTGCATGTTATCAAACGACTAGAAGAGAGGAGATCAAATGTGCACATCACAAAGAAACTAAGTTTTGTAATGATAAATATGCTAATTAATCTGATTAGATCATCACATATCATATATATGTATTGAAATACAACTCTGTACCCCATAAATATGTACAATCAATATGTTTCAACAAAAAATAAATGTAAAAAAATAAATTTCCTTCTCTGAAAACTGACTACCTCTCAGATCTCTTAGTCACAACCCTCCTGTGGATATAATATTACTACTATATAGGAGGATGCTTCAAAAGTTCATGAAAAGATACATATTATCTTTTAATTCTATTTTTCCATGAACTTTTCTGAGGTACACTGGTATGAGGTAATGCTCCTTCCACATTTTTCTTTCACCCTTCCACTCAATGATCAGCAATGCTACAAGTAATTTCCAGTGAGAGAAAGTAAGGTCAGTTATTCACTGATTATATTTCACATATGTAAATTATTAGAAATGTGACCACTAGACTTTAACATATTTTAGAATATTAAAAAGCTTAAGTCAGGAGTCAAGCAGGGATGATGTTCAGGGGCTGAGACAAAAATGGATAAAAGGTATAAACTATCAAATGAGCACCAAAGTTTCTATAAGAAAGAAAAACCATGTTGTATCTTAGACCATATATTGAAGAAGTCCATGCAAAAACCATTGCTATCTAGAAGAGAGTTAGAGACAGAAAATGGAAAGAAAAGCAAGCATTCGAGAAAGCAAAATCAGAAATGGATACAACATCTTCAAAACATCTAAGAAACTCCTAAGTTTTTTCAACGTGGCTCTAACAGTGCATGATTAAAATGTTGCAAAATTCTCAAACTTGGTCAGACTACTCAATTCTTCAATATGACAATTTACTATTTTTGGCTTTTTTTGTATTAATTTTCTATTCCTACTTGGAATGATACCTAAAGGAAACTATTCCTAAATTGAACATATATGACAGCCTTGATCTTATATTTGACATCTGTGTAGAATCACTGCTCCACTGACAAAGTAGCAAATCCCCTGGTAGTATTTCTGCTTTCTTCTCAAGTAAGAAGGAAATATTAAGTAATCAACATTACTGGATTCAAAAGTATTTTCCTATAAGCCAGGCACAGAAAGACAAATACTGCATGATCTCATTTATATGTGGGATTTTAAAAAGCTGATATCATAGAAGTAGAAAGTAGGCTGGTCAGTTAGCTCAGTTGGTTAGAGCACAACCTCGTAACACCAACTTCAAGGGTTCACATCCCCATACCTAACAACAACAACAAAATACCAGCTAACAAAAAAAAAAAAAAAAAAAAAGGAAGAGAGTAGAATAGCAGTTACCTGTGAGGTGAGGGGGTGGGGGAAGGGAGGAGTGTGGGAAAGGGGAGATATTAGTCAACAGATACAAAGTTATAGTTAAATAGGAGGAATAAGTTTTGTTGTTCTATTGCACAGTAGGGTGACTATAGTTAATAATATTGCATTGTATATAGGTAGAAGAGAGGTTTTTGAATGTTCTCACCACAAAGAGTTGATAAATGTTTGAGGTGATGAATATGCTAAATACCTTGATTTAATCATTACACAACATACACATGTATGGAAACATCACACTGTATCCCATAAATATGTACAATTATACGTGACAATTAAAAATAAAATAAAAACTTCTTTAAAATGTATTTCCCTTTAGCCATACACCTTATGTTTTTAAGTGCTTAATAATAATTCACTTCTAATCTATTTGGCTTTGTTGTATATAGTTTGAATTTATAAGTTGTATAAAAATGGCAAGGAGAAAGAGAAAATATAAAAGTAAAATTTTCCTTTATCCTTGGCATTTCTATTCACTCTACTTGGTATGGTGAACTGAGACATACACATTAGATAATTACAGATAACACTATAAAATGCATTTAAAATATATTTAGGACCCCTAATTTACTGACAATTTAATAAAGTTAAATATTTGGCCTAAAAATTTTTTCTGGAATGTTTAAATTTTATGTCTGTTTTTCATAGCATCCTTTTGGTTTCAATAGCTACTATGGGAATTTAGAATATAACATTTTATTTTTTTAAAAAAGGCTGCTACAAATTATTAGTATTTAAAACATTTAAATATCTCTCTGATGTCTACCCTAAAATAACAAGGTTTGCTAGGTGCTGTATGTCATTTTGAGACACTAAAATTTTACCAACCTCTGTATCTTTCAATTTTTGTAGTTCATTTTCCAGCACCAATTTTTTCTCTGATAACAATTCAAAATCAGTTTTCATCTGTTTGTATTTCTAAAAACAAATATTATAATTTTAGTAATAATGAAGAGCGAACATCTTAATATAGAAAGCTTATTTGGATACTTAATTATTAAGGTAAGGAAGTCTTCATTAACTCATGAAAATAATGGACTATCTCCATTAATCTGTATAATGAGGATATCACTGGAGCTGAAAGAGGTAAGGGCACCAAAAGTGGCAAAACTGGAACTATTCAGAAGATTGTAGGATATTACAGTTTAATATTTCAGAAGTGAAGTGCTTCTGAGTGATAATAAAGTCTAGTAAAATTAAAAGAATAGACAAAACTTTCCAACTCACACATGCACAGAAATCTTTTGAATAACCTAAGAAAGTCTTGGATCTCTATTTAGGATTAGGTATCCTGACAATTTCTAGAGTCTATTGAGAACTCAAGGGCAAAGTACAATTTCAAATTGAGCGTGTTATACTTACAGCCTCTAACAAACTTTGATCATTTAGAGATCTGAAAAAGAAACCAAAGATATTTATAATGTATTCTTTTTTTTTTTTTTTTTTTTTTTTTTTTTTTTTTTTCCGTGTCCGGCAACGGATCGCAACCCTCA